CTAGAACTATACACCATATTAGTTTTTGGTAAATATGTATCCTTCTTAATCACTTAATTAATTAATACTGATATCTCAAGTATTGATCATCACATTTGAATAAAACTTGGTACATAAATGCTCTAGGACAATAGACAGCCTGATTAATTTTGGGTTAAAATCTGTTCATATTAACTCTCTAATTAGCATAATAATTAATATTTTTTGGGTTCTAATCACATTTCAATGAAACTTGGTACATTGTGCAAACCTTATTAGTTTTACACTTAAATTTGTTCATATCAGTTACCTGATTTACATAATTAGTTTTCAGCTATTCCATCAATATCTCAAGTACAAGTAATTTTGAATTAAGTTTTAATGTGTCTTCAATACTCTCGGCACACGGGAGTTCTTTCTAAGCTTTCTTTGATTGTTTCATGATCCTATACAGTAGTGCAACTTTTGATTTTACATTACTCATCTTTTTTTCTTTACATTAGAGAAGTAACGTTAGCTGATTACATTGGCAAGGACAGTGTTTTACTTATACTGCTACGCCATTCCCTTTGACTACCGTGACGTAAACATGTTACACAGATCATACAAAGACGAGAAGAGATAGAGTCTGCTGGAGGTCGTGTGTACGTGGTCTCGTTCTACTCTCAGGAAGCAGGTTTGAATTGGATACAGCAAATAGAATGTCCTTTTGACATGCTATTGGATCCCTCCAAGAAAGTATGTAAACGTTTTCTAAGCCCACTGTTTTGTAAGCGTGGCCAATTTCGTTCTTGTAGACTTATAGCTGCCCACTGAAGCACTGCCATATGATAAAATTAACTGGACGCACAGCAAATTGGGATGACTGTTCAGACTAAACAAACAAATAAACAGACATATTATTTCTCTAACTCTCACCAATGTTACACTGGTGCATAGCAATCACATAACTGCATGTTATTTTGTTCAATTTTGGTTTACAATATTTTTTCCAAAGAGCCATGGGTAGTGAGTAAGCAGTCTATGACAAATTGTAAATATTGCTGGCAACTCTTACAACACTGTGGGTTCAGAGCTATTTCTAGAATAATTATGAATAAACTTTCCAACAGTACACAAATGTTGACTATTTATGTAATGACAGTATTCAGTACCATGTACGACATTGTTTGTGATACAAGTCTCAATGTATACATGTATTATGCTTGAAAAAACATAGTTGAATACTGAATAATAACTATGGTGCTTTAGATTTTACATATATTCAGTGACTTGTGTTGCCTTCATTAATAAACCCTGATAAAATACTACTTTTCAGTCCTATTAAATTAGGTCAAGATGCCCTATGTCATCCTTAATAAGTATCAAATTCCATTTAGCAACACTTTGCAAACGATTTAAATAATCAAGGATAATAACATTGTATATTTGATTGTCAGTTATATCAGATATTTGGTCTCAGCCACTCCTTCTACAAAGTGTGGAAAACAGAAATCATGCAGTACTATGCTGAACATATTGCAAGTGGTAAGGAGCTACCAAAGCATGTCACTAAAGAAAAAGAAGATTTACAACAGGTAAAATAATATGTCAGTTTGAAACAATAATCTATACCATATTTGCTCACTAACGTATTGTACACAGGATTATTATAATATATGACACAATAAATACACCTGTCATGTACATATTAAAGCGCGGTGGTCGTCGCGGATGTAAATAAACAATGTATTTTACACGCCTTGTATATGTCGCTATGAGTCCCATATCGAACAGGGCGCGGCACGACGACTGCTGCCCTTTAAATACATGAGCTA